TTTAGCCACTGCGGCACAAGTGACTCCTCATAAAGATACCTTCGCCACACATTCCTCAACAGAATACCCCGCCACACTAAACGATGTTAGCGGGCCGACAACATACGCGCCCTTTGTTGCTACCCATATGACGGAGCACCCCCCAATTACAACCCCGTCCGCTGTCAAACGAGTTACTACTGCCAATACCACCACGGGACTCAAGACCCCATCTCTTGTCTAACCAAAGAAAGCAGTCAATGGTACCTCAAAAATGGGGAACGTGAAACACTACCATAATTCTCCAAATGTTATATGCTCTAACGTGATTGAATCCCGGCGAACACCATAAAAGATAAGATACTAGACGACAAAAACAGTGGGACTCCCTGTGCCAACTAATAGAGGTTCAAGCTAAACCAGTCAGTATGTTGCGTCTCGTCCGTCACCCAAACTCCGTAGACTACGGTGAACCGCGGTTACTCAAGGTAACACTTCAGTCAAATACTGAAGCAGAGGCAGTTCTCTTGTCATCCACTCGCCTCTGTACCACCACATGTACTGTTCGAATGTTTTCAGATGTTCCTTGGAGTGAATACCAGAAACGCAAACAAAACCCGGAGGACTAAACGTAAACAACAAGGCGCATAATCTATCCTGTTTCACGGTGTCTTTGAGCTCTAAGCAATAAGTGAGCTAGGGGTCAAAGCGCATGCCGGTGATGAATGGCGTTTTATTTGCGAAGTACCCTCACTCGAAAATATTATCGCTAATTCGACATCAAGGTTACCGCTATCACTACAAATGGTGTGGTTCTCTAGTGGTTAAAGCATCATTGCACTCCTAACTGATGGTCTAACATGTGATCAAAATGTGGTACAAAAGGCCTAAAATGCTTCCATTCGAAATAGGTATAAAGGCAATAGGCACTGGGCCACAGATAGAGAATGTAACACTGAGCACGTAACTTACTAATTCATTTCTGTTCCCCGTGTAGCTCAGGACGGAAACAATACCAAAACACACCGGCAGCTGAAGGAGGACAGGATGGTTACCCTCTTGTTAGCGCTGAGAACTCTATACAACAACCTAAACTGACCCTAGGGCCTGCGTCATCAGTCTTACAAAAAACCACCAGCAGCCGACCCCGCAAGTTTCGGCGTAGACCCTCATCGGAACCCGGCATTCACGAACACGTTTCTGACCACCGATGCCCACACCTGCTTGTATACCAATGCACAAGGTCTTTTCAGCAAGCTAACCTAACTTCGTATTCCTCAGGTCTAACAAGATTTGGGACCCAGTTATGGTCACCGAAACGTGGCTACTCACTATGAACATGGATGTTGAGATTGCACTAGCCGGCATAACTTCAATACGAAAAGATCGACCTAGCAGAGGAGGGGAGTGCTCCTGTCTTATCGATCCGACCTGCACGTTGATGTCATTGAGGACCCAAAAACGGAAGTAGTCGATGCTCTTTAATGTCGTATGCACCTAAGAGGTGGTGATGCGTGTTTACTAGAAACAGTTTACCGACCTCCAACGTCCACCTTGGAAATGGATCAATGCCTGGCTTCTGCAATGAAACGAGTCCTGGCTCGACCATACAGTCACGTTCTTCTGGTGAGGGACTTCAACCTGCAAGCAACTGATGTTCCGGCATCGCACTGCGAACAATTCAAGGCGGATTTGCAAGAGGTGATTGCGAATGTACATCTCTACAACCATGTCACCTTCCACGCGGTTCCGAACGGGTGACACACCCTCTGTTTTAGACGGTGTGCTCTCCAACTAGGAACTAATGGTCTACACCGTGACCATAGATACACAACTTGGCCGTAGCGATCATGCGATTTTGCTCTTTCGTTACATCTGTTACTCGGAGTACATCAGTGCGAACAATCTGGAAACATATGTCGTTACACATTACGAGAAACTGTCCAACTTCGATCAAGAAAGCGACTGGTCCTTCCTGGCCGAGAAGACGCCGGACGTCGCCTGGATGTTGTTTGTCACCCAATTCACTGAGCTAGTAGCAAATGCGTCAGAAAGCAAAGTCCTTTGCCCGAAGCAAGTGAATTTCTTCCTGGAGAGCCGAGCTATAAAATGCAGGGGCTTAAGGGATTCAGCCTGGCTCGCTTACATTCCCTGTCCAAGTAACCTGACCTGAGGTGCTTACCCAACTTGAAGAAGCCGCTGTGTCAAGTTGATCCGTGATGACAAACTCCAGCACCAACAGAACTTAATGTCAAAATTCAGTAAAAATCTCAAGTTGCTGTATAGATAAGTCAACAAGCTCCGCAGAGTGCAGCGCCGGATCCCGGTTTTACATGTAACAGTTGGTTTTACGCAAACCGCACAGCATGCAGCCAACGTGCTTCGCCAACACTTCATGAATACTTTCCGGAGTGAATCATTTCATCGGCTTTTTACACAGATTCCATCAACACCAGGTTAAACCATATATCGTTCACGGCAGCCAATGTGATGAAAACGCTAATGTCATTGCGCGTGCATAGCTCACCCGACGTGGACGACGTCAAACCGAAGGCCTTGAAGACAGCGGCCATGAACATTGCCGAACCATCAGCTCGGTTCTTTCCACATTGGCTAGACGAAATGCATCTTCCGACGATGTGGAAATATGGACTAATCACTTCTAGTTACAAAACAGGTAGTCCTTTGGAGCCCTTGAACTACCGTCTAATCACTCTCCTCCCAGTTTTAATCCAAATTAATGGAACGTATAATTGAAGAGGCCCTCACTGAATATCTTGAGAGCAACAATATCCTAATGTCCCAGCAACACGGATTCCGCCGAAATTGATCCCGCACCACAAACTTGCTGCTAGCAAGAGCAAGCTAGACAGAGTCAGTCGATGTCAGAGTGAGAGTCGACGTTGTCTACCTGGACTTCTTCAAAGCGTTTGACCGTTTGGACCACCGCATTCTTCTACAAAGCTTCGAAGCTATGGAATCGGTGGCCAAATACTCGGTTGGATGGGCAATTTCTTCGCTCAACATCAGCTGAATGTGAGAGTCCGCAGCTCCACTGGAGCGACGCAGATGACGCTATAAACAATCTCCTTATGCTTTTGTATTTGCGCTGTCTCTTCATTATTCCGTATCATATCTCCTGATATTTTGTTTACTATGTCATAAACAAACGTTTTCTTGATTCTACAAATAAATTAGACTTGCTGCTCATAGTTATTATTTCATTGGGAAAAGCAGCAACTCTAAAAGCAAACGTTTCTCATATTCTTCTCTGTACTTCCTATGACGAACATAATTCCGCCTAGTTACCAGACATTAGACAGTTATTATTTATCACATTCTTTTACTAAAAAGCATCAGATAGGCCCATAATTTAAGGATGGTAAGTAAATTTTATGTAGCTACCCATACAACATATTCGCTGGTTAGTTACTTTGCTCGTAATGCCATAAATAGCACATTTTATTTAGCAGACACCTAAGAAAACATGATAACTGCAGTCTATAGCTGGTGGATGAATATATTGATGAGCACACACAGTACTTGTCCAGTGAGGAATATGAAGCAAATGGATTGATTACGCCAGATGATCCAAACTCCATATCACACACTGTCGGCTAGATTAGAATCAAAATTATATGCCTCTACAAAAAGTATAACTATTCTGCAAAGTTAGTGTTCAATAGAGCTGTTATATCGTGAACATATTCAGGTTTATGGGTTATAATTTCAGTTATTAACCTTATAGAGCATGAGTAGTCGAAACTGGAAGACATTTCGTTTTTTTGCTCCTCATGGCCCATCATTTATTCGACTATTGATGAATAGCAGTGAATATGGCACGACGTTGCTTGGATCAAAATGCATTGATATCAAATGTTCCAACTCTATCATCTAATGTAAACAGTTCAATGATTCTGTTTGTAAACGGCGTACATATGAGGTTACAATCCACTAGTCTACAAGTTACTTGTAATCTTATGCAGAATTGTAATCCCTCACTTAAACGTTTCCTTTACAACGGGATAAAACATGAGACAAAATAATCTTAATTTTTATCTTAGTCTAACATATGCTGACTTTAGATGCAGGCCATGATCAGACCCAGCCCGGTATATCTTTCATTGGACAACGCTGCTTCTCCTCAGCGCTGATGGCTGTTCATCTCTACATTACATAAGAGGTATCTTCTCTGGATTGTGAAGCAACAACCTGTAGTGATAATCATGACAAGCTTTCTCTCAGAGCACATTATTTTGTTGGCATGAACTTCCGCTGTCAGAAACACAACCTCGTGTCATTGATGACCAGCACTTGTCGTCCTTCTCTGTATAAACTGAAGATTCCTGAAACTAAATAATTGTCAGAAAGCTTAAATAATATTGACAGCAAGCACAAGCTCCTGGAAGCACTCTCCGACCGAGTTATCCCTTCGGAACCCGTCAGAAGGCCTAGTCTTTAAATTGCTTCTTCTATGATGATGCATGTTGTACACTAAAACTAGGCAGCAAAGGTGTTCATAAAATAATATGAAACGCTGGGTTCCACAATGGAAAAAGCATATTGCTTGATTTCATGCCGACTTGTCCAGCTGACGAAATATTTGCATGTTTGGCGTGGACGTCAGTGTATTTTTCTAGCTGTCATTTCAAGGTATAACGAGAAAATTTTATCATCCGACAGCTAATTTAGGAACAACTAAAAATTTCTAGCTTACGCTAGATCGCCACTTGTTTAGTTAGATGGCACACTATAGATAACATTTTCCAAATTTCGTAGTTATTCTTAACGCTATCCTTCCCACCGACCTACCAGTGATCCTGTTCGCAGTTTGGTTATAAACGGTTGTTACAACCGGTTTGAAACAACGCATTCCAGCTAGGCAAAATCTTAATTTTTATATAACAATGCTTATGAACTTATGACAAATATACTATTTTCATGAATTACATGGCCACAATCTTATGACGTCCGTAAAGCTTCATTAAAATACGTTTACAATTCCTATTTTTTGTAAATAGGATGGAACCGAGCACCAGCCAGGTGATCTATCCGATACATATGGAAGCGCTGTACACTTGGGCATCCAACGACTCCGTGCTGTCACAAGAGTTTATTCGGAACATCCATAAAACAAGTGCAGTGTTAAAATCATTAGGCTACGCTCAAGCAAACATTCCGCCAAACTACGGGGCTCCGGAATCATCAGTTTTAGAGAGAACAAAGCACATGTATAACGATGAAAATTTTCGCAAGATATTTGGGAGATCTAATCGTTTGTGATGGACAAATTTTGAAGGTGTATTATGCGCTTTCCTGTCATCGTTTATTAAGTCAAACGATATGTTTTCAAACAAAAATTGAATTGTTTATTTTCTTTTTTAACCTTCGTACGATTTTATAAACTTTCATATTTGAAATGCGCGCATTTCTTCTTTCAGTTTGTATCGAATGCAAAGTCTACGAATTTTTCACGGGCATATGCACTGCGTGCTTTTAATATATTGGTTTGGAAGGCACAGTTGGAATATGCAAGCTGTAACTGACCAAACTATAGATTCTCAGTCAAATCTAACTGGAAGCCAAGATGTTGACTGTTTACCTTAAATCGTCCAAGAACTTTAGATGTTCACGAATATCCTTTGTAAAATATGTATATGCAGAAAATGGGTCTATGCTAATTGGCAAAAGGATTATGTCCAAATGTTGCTTTAACCAATCTTATTAAACTACTGACAACATTCAAATGCTGCAAATCCATTTTTCAAACATTTTGAATCATTTAAAAATGCGTCAATAATAGGCTCGATTAGACTGCAAGTACATGCCTGGCAAAGCCCTGTATGGCGATTTCATGACGATAGTAACCACCAGGAGTAAGGCACTATATGTGCTATAGCGTCGCTCGTTAACTACGGGCTTGCACATTCCTAACGTGCAGATGACATGGTAGCACAATCAAGAAGCAAGGAAAGTACTAAACTTAAGCTGCCAATTGACTTACGTCATTCTACGCAGTCTGCGCTACATGCTGATGACAAACGAGTTGTGGAGGGCTTCCAATTGCATAGGTAGTAGTTCATCGTGGATCTAGTAACCTAGTCACAGTTGTGGTTACCGTCTTCTATACCGCAATCACAGACTGGCAACAGTAGGTTTGCGAGATCCGTTTCTTAAGTGTCAGATGGAATTTACAATGCTAGCAATTACTGGAGAAAGGGACGGCCGTACGATTCCGGGTGTATGATGGCCGCCTGACTGGGTACAGCTAAGATGAATGTCTAAGCATACCAGTCGCATTCACCTAATAGTAACATTGAACTAGCCGGCGATACGCATTCGTTCCGCACACTGGATTGTAATAAACCGTAATTTAACAATGGTTATATCTTTGTCATCGCAAACGCTCACAAACTTATCGCCATGTGACCCGTTGGGGGAAAGGGTAAACGCAATTTTGTGCGGTTTTCTCATGGAATAGGCCTTGTATAAACTCGTCTAGTACAACGCGCAATTGCATGATTGTAGGAGGAAAATTTTGTCAACTCAAAAGACAGGTGCAGAGAATGCACAGGGAACTATGGACTCTGAATGACGTCCACTTACCGCTGTTTATGATTACGCACATGGTTGTTCTGATGTCAAGCGCAGGATAAAAAAGGAAGGAAAAGTATGACCAGAATAAAATAAACGCAGTCCACAGATTCCCTGCCTTCAGCTCTGAGTTAAGAATTCTGTGTCATTGCATTTGCTTTGTCTCATAAAACAATGATGCTAAGATAACAAGTCCAAGAAAAAAAAACATATCAAAACCTAAAATATGTTTTATTTTATATAAAAATGATTTCCATTGATGTATTTGCACATTCCATTAAAACACGTCTCAACCGAGAACATCATCTATCAATAGGGCAACAACATTAGAAAATTATTAGCTACGAATAATTATTTAGGAATTGCAAATAGCACTTCTTCAATGATATTGGTCACGATGCAAACGCGATAAATTACCTAGAAAGAACTTGCTTGCTAATGGTGTAGTTGCACACTCATGTTTTTTTCGCTGTTGACGTACGCTAAGTAACTCCCGAATGGATCGTCCTTTTGGCAATTTGGAGAGATGCCGCACGCACAGAACCCAAGCAAATGGGTTTACCGCCCCCGCAATCACATTGCCACAACTGACTCACTGCAATTGTCTTCACATGGATCCCTTGTTTCACTTTGGAAACAGATTTTTCTATCACAACCGCCTTAGTTGACATGGACAGATTTGCTGCTTTTCACTGATGTTCGAACAATTGGGTTCATCGCCTTACACTGCTGCAAGAACATTTTAATACTTCTCTTACCTGGAGCTTTTCTGATGGCGTATCATGGAGCCATTACTGAACATGAAGTTAATTTCTCTTGACAATAACTTACCTGTGGAAGAACTTTGCTCCGCTTCTGTGGACCGTCTGTGCTTTTACGTAACTCTGATATTCTACCCATGGTCTTAAATGTATTAATGCGAACTTACTGTGGATCCCCCATGTGGGTGAGAAATCGCATTTTTGCCTGACGGGACCAATTTAGCCACAAGGATCCACTGCAATATCCACCAGACATGCCCAGTGTGACTATCTGACCAAGAAATATTCATGCCGGAAGCAGTATACCACAAAGAGCAAGTCAACTTACCTTACTTCGAAATCCCTAAACACCTGCACAATCCTTCACCCGACTTCCCTGGACATTTCATCTCTTGGCCGGTTTCAACGAGGAATGGCGGACCTGGACTAGACAATTCGGTTAGCCAGCGCAGAGCATTGGAGCTTACCTGACTGCGATTACCCGAGTGTACATTCGTTCCGTAAAATACATTGCAAGTTATACATTACCATTCAAACGGACTGGAGGCAATGTTCCAGGACGTGGTGGGTTTCCGCCTAGCAAGCGTTCTCCCTATCAAAAGCCACAAATGTACGTTTAACAACACTGCGACGTGGCGGATATGACTCGCTACCGAATAAAGTTACTGCCCAAAAACTCACACTGTCATATTAACCAGAAAGACCTTTCATATTATTTCAGTATATTTTGCATATGTATACTAGAAAGACACTTCCCTGTTTCTACCATCCGTCACCAATCTATATAATACGCTGGTACACATTCTTGAACCCAGACTTTCGCCGCACCATTAAAGATTCCATTCCTGGCCAGTGTATCCGCCATTTCGGTAACTTCTGTATATTGTGCAAACAGAGTATTTCATGCAAAGCAATCTGACTTTTGCGGAACAATCCCTTGTGAATTCTTGATACTGTCGAATCTGGTGCGCCTCGAGCATAAATATTTATTTATTTATTTCAATTTTGTACTACAATTTATTAAAATACCTTTAGTCTGAAGGCAAGGGAAGTAAGCTTAGGTGTTCCTGAGATTTTTCGGACACACTAGGAATAACAGCTGTTGTCGTACAAAATGATACTGTTAGTTGAACAGGGATACCTGGTAATAAGATTTTCTGTTACAATAGTGATGGGCAGATATCATTGCGTGATTGCCGCTTGTTTTTAGTAGGAAAATAAGAGATTAATTCACCGCAAGTAGATGCAGTGAGAGAGAAGAAACTGTATGAATTCCATCCAAACGCCCCATGCTCAAGTTATAATGAATCTGAAAAATTAGGGTCCGGAAACCCCAGCGTAACTTCGCCAGCATGATTGCATCCCATAATCGAGCTTTGTATATGGCAATGTAGGAACACTAAAGTCTGCTTAGATAATAGAGGACTTCTGACCATTTTTACCCAGTGAGGTGAGTACCATCCGCAAAGTAGTCACGCTAGTGACTGCACACCTCTTATTTAACTCTGTTCTCGAATAGCAGGTGAAGTAGTTACGAATTATCCAAGCTTCTAAAAGGGGTTTGAATAAAAAACGAAGAGAAGCCTTACGCATATATGTTTTGTTCTAATGCAGTCTCTATAAAATGAACAATACGTGTCTCTGCGTCTAATACGGAGCGTTGGTGTTTTTACACAAACGGGTATATATCGTCTTCAAGTGTTGCTGTAAATATCCTCGGAAATGACAGATTTCGAAATCCTATGAAAGTACTGCTGAAATTACAATCAGAGGGTGCTTTTTGATGCATTTCTTATACTGTGATTATATTAGTCGTTCGCCAGATTTCCGGAATCATTCCTATACTGAGGCATTTGTTATAGTGCTCCGTTAGAGGTAGATAGAAGCAGCACACACTTTCAAAGCTAACTGTGACAAAACAAGTGAACTACTAACTTTGTTTGACTTTAATCTATTGGTAGCATTGTAAACATTGCTTTGATCGAAGGGCGAAGCTAGACATGAGCTAGTGAAGTCGAACAAGGAGGTTGCCCTTTGTGAGACGGAGCTGAACTCGGAACTTATTTTGTCCACATCTACTTTACCACTCTGACTGTCGATGTCCCTTATTACAGATTTTCCTTAAAAGCCACCATAGAACATGATAATTATGGTTGCCTAGAACCGGTTGGATCTATAAGTAGTTTGACCTAGATTTCTCGGCCTTAATTGCTACGGTTAAGCTCTTGACACGAGTAGACATCGCACACTCAAAATCTTTACCTTGCGAAACTGGAAGACGCTTCAGCAGTGATGATGAAAATCTGTGTCGTACTTTCTTTTAATGTCATCTAGTCAGCGTGCAATAGTAGCACTAATGAATAAGTTGCCAAACAGCACGATACTTTCGCATGTATCCAAGCTGTTCTTTTAAAGCTCGTTTAATTGTTTCCTGTCTTCGTGGCCATGTTCGACGAAGTATAGATTTCAAACAATACCATGTAACGTATTATGATTTCTAGTGTATGATATGATTGAAGCCAGTTCAAAAATCAGGTGCTTCAAAAATGCGGGTGGAAAGTAAAATCTGCAGTGAGCAGTGCAAAAACGTATTCCAATAAGAACATCAACAGTCGAAATTGGTCGAAAACACTATAAAGATTTTAAGATCGTTCATATTTTTGAGCATCAGCGAGCCTTCAGGAGACCTACTTTCGTTCGCTACATAGAAATTTACACAGCCTTACAGTTGACAAAACTGCCCTCTGAGTTTAAGTGCTAAGAAAAAGAAGGCCTGAGAACGTTGGTATTATTCAGACTGTTTACTCCCAAGTCTGTTTCCTGGTAAGGCAAAATTTCAACTAGTTTCTATTCACCATTGGCATGAGACAGTACTGCAACCTTTCAATTTCTGGAACAAATTTGCTTTGGATGAGGTATTTGAGTGTTCGAGGGAAAACTGTCAACATGTTAACGTCAGTTCACTTCCATGTGATCGGGTTGGTGATTTGTTGAATGTTGATGACATTGCCGTATTCTATAATTCTAGACAGTTCGTCGAAGACATTTTGCATACGTTGGATACATCTGTAGTACAGATCGGAAT